AGCAAAACTTTGATATCCATCCTTCTACAAACCACTTTATCCAGTACAGGATGACAGGGGGAGCTGGGGCCTATCCTGGCAAGCAGTGGGCTCAAGTCCAGAAACACCCTGGAACAGGACATCAGTCCATCGCAGGGCACACACAGACACTGACACACTCACCCCAGGGCCAGTTTTTCCCAGAAGCCGATTGACCTACCAGCGCGTGTTTGGACTGAGTGAAGAAACCGGTGCACCCAGAGAAAACCCTTGTGAGCACAAGAAGAATGTACAATCTCATCCGACTGAAATTCCTTATGTCTTCTGTAATTTTCCTGGTTCCAGTATAGGAACGGGGGAGGCGCTGAATAAATATATCTGACCATCCTGGAAAGCTGTGCCTCATCAAAATTCCCATCTGTAAAAAAACCTCGATAAAACCAAGGTGTGCTCACCTGGAGAGAGACGATTGTGCTGACCGCTGTGCATCAGGAAAAAAGGAAAAGGAGTCAAAGGAGTTGTACAAATTTATAGTCATTGATTAGCAACCGACAAATGTTTAGACTAAGTAGCAGCAAAAAAGAGCAAACGTTTCAGTTGCTTAATGAATATCCCTGGTACTTAAAAGTAAAAAAAAACCTCAATTGACATCTTTGACTTGTGATTTGTTTTTTTCATTAAGATAATGGGTGCTAATTTTGATTAAAACATCTGCCAACAGGTCTATGGATTATTGAAGCTAAATAGTACACCTACAGATGCAATGGATCTCAGTATAAAGACTGTTTTGTATGCACAGTGGAGTTCATATTTTACTAATGTATTACCTGCAAATTTATTTTATTTGGTTTATTCAAATAGCATGTGTGTTTTTCCGCTCTGCGGAAGCACATTAAGGTTTCAGGCCTGTCAATAATGATGTGCGTTTTATTGCTTGATTGCCTGAGGAAATTCTTTTATGTGCATGTTGTTTTAATTGTGGATTCAGGCACTGTTCTATTCAGTCAGTTAATCACAGGGGTTTTGGTGTCTTCATCTGCTGCAAAGTAACATTTTCAAGTTGGGGGGAGCTTGTCACATTTTACTGTCAAATGAAAGAGTGAAAGAGAAAAAGTTACAATTTTTAACATCCAAACAATCTAAAGAATTTCTGCTGGGCTTTATGATATTGCAAAAATGTAATGAAAAACAGCTCTGCAGATCCCTACTTTATATTTAAGATGCATCATGTTCTTGTAAAATAGCCTCTAGTTACAAAAAAGCACACTTTGCCCAGGAGCAGAATTGTACAGAATTTCCAGTTTGGTTGTAGAGTTGGGCATGCTTCTCTCTCTGAGACGGTCCTGTTCAGATGAGAGACGTACACAGAATGTGTTATTTTCTATAAGGTACAGGCCTGCGGAGAGACACGGAAACCGTAGTTACTGCAGGAACTGACATAGAGATTCAGCAGTTAAATAGTAAACAGACCGCAGCGTTCGTACTGTAAAAATTGGAATGTTAATCACACATCCTGCTCGAATCGGCCCATGGGTTGGATCTGGTGATTTCTGCTATCTCGTTAACTGTGGCTTTTTGTAAAGTTTCTCATGTCACTAACCTCATCCTTGATTCTGTATGCCAGCCACTTGTTATACGTGTACCTCACAGGAGAGACTTTAGGGGTTTTAGGGTTTACAGTATGTCGTGGGACTTCTTGGGGTTTAAGATGACCCCTGTTACTGCTGATAACTGCATCTGATTCTTGTTACCCTGTAAAACGTGAACTTGAAAAAGCTGTTATGTACCCAATGGGGCTTCACTGGTGGTGTGAACAGTGATAGGCACTCCTTCCTTCCCCTGTATTTTAAAGTTTACAGATTACCCCCCTTCCAAACAACCCATAATTAAGACTGACTGGGTGTTCCAAGAAAATCCTTTCTTTGGACTTCACTCTGATAAGGAAGCTTCCCATTCTGTTACTGGGCTCTCCACTCCATTTCTGGTCTCTCCACTCAGTTACTAGGCTCTCCACTCCGTTACTGGGCTCCCTGCTCTCCACTCTTACTGGGCTCCCCACTCTGTTACTGGACTATCCAGTCCATTACTGGGATCCCTGCTCTGTTAGTAGATTCCCCACTCTGTTATTGGGCTCTCCATTCCATTACTGGGCTCCCCACATCATCACAGAGCTCTTGAGCTGAGTGGCTTTGACGCCTCTGTGTCCTACCACCAGAACTGATTATGGGAATACATGGGGGATCTACACACCATACCCAGATCCCTGCTTTCTTATTATTCTTTTTATGCTGATTTTTATCCTTCTGGAAAATGAATGGAAAGATGGAAAGAGCCGTCAACTCCGAGCACGGAACAGAATTGACCCCTGACCTTAGTGCTCCATGCAGGGCCTGCCCGAAATGCTCAGGCTGATGTATGTTTTCCGCAGGCATGGAAAACCATTGCAAATCTGCTGCAGCAGGGACAGCAGGTGGGCTTAGCCTAAGTGTAAAGGATTGCCTGGCTCTCACTACAGACTCCCCGGCACTCTAACTTTTGATAAAGCTGCTCTGCTCTGCATCACTCCAGATTGCTATTATTACTTAAGTCCTGAAGTGGTTTTTGTCATGATGATGGCTTGACATTGAACTAAGAGTGTATTATTTTAGTCCGACAGCAAGTGGTTGTTTTTTGGCAAGAATGTCTCGCCCCGCTGAATTAGTCTCCTCTCCTCCAGAGGTGGCTCGCTCTCTTTTTTGTCATCCTTTCGGTATTGGATGAGCGGAGTCAGGTGCCTGAGTGTCGTTGACGTTTGTCTAATCCATCCTCTCCTTTTAAAATTACCATGTGCTGCCTGGCAGCCAGTCATTAAGGGACCCTGTGATTATCGATGAGCCGCACAGACTGTTTTTAAAGCCCTCGTAAGGTTTGCCCGTCAGCGTGGGATGTGTTCTGTTGGGATGCAAGAACGTTGGCCCTGAAGGAAGTCTTTAGTCAAAGAGGAGCAGCTCTCGGTTTTTACTTTGCTGTGGCGATCTTTAAATGCCCGTCTTGCAGTCATTTACAAACAGCTTAGCCCTCCATTTCCTTGTTCTGACTTGCTGTTTTTTTTTTATCTGTGACGTTTTTCATTTGCAGTGTTTCATGTGATGCGAGGCATCCCTGTGGGGCCAACCTTTCAGAGCCTGACTGCAGATTTCTGGGTTTTTGTTTTGTGCATTGTAGACGAAACTACTTAAAAAACAGATCAATAGTAATTATCAAGTCATCATTAGTAATCACTAGATTGCTGATAGAGTCTACATCTTCTCCTGACATCTTATGGAAGAAACTTGTCATGCATATACTGACATTAACACCCACTAGCTAAAATAAGAGGAACCCCAGGTCTTTGCTGACTTGAAGAAAGGTGATTGTTGTTGTGTGTCCTGTGTTAAACAATCCAGTTTGAAACTGGTGGAGCCAGTGCACTCCAGTGTCACACACACACTTGTCTTCCCCGCAAACTCCAGTTTGGCAATCCTGAGAAGAACTGGGGGCTGGGACGGGGCCCTCAGCCCTGTCGTGTTCTTGCTGTTCTCTGTGGTCCGACGTGTCCCAGCTGACGTCCCAATATTCTGACCCATGTCCTGCAGTGATAATGCAAACCCCTTGATCATTACTGCACCAATCCTGCAAGTAATCCCCTGCATTAACAGACCTGCCTGCCAGACGGCCTTCCCCTACAGTGTCCCAGTCAGGTGTTTTAAGATCACTTTATTAGCCTTATACAGTTTCTTGCATGAGGAATTTGTCTTTTCGCCTACCCAGGCTTGCTCTCCATGAGACACACAGGCACACAGATGGGAGAGAGAAGCTTGGGGTCAGAGCCCAGAGTCTGCCATTTATACGGCGCCCCTGGAGCAGTTGAGGTTAAGGGCCTTGCTCAGGGGCCCAAGTGAGTAGGATTTCTCTGTCTGCCGCAGGATTTGAACCGGCAACCTCCCAGCCACCGGTACAGATCCTTAGCCACAGTGCCACCACTCCGCCCTCTCTGGAGTTCTGTCAGTCAGGCATTTTGCACTGGATTCAAACACCGGCAGAGATTTCCAGAGCTTTCCGTTTCCGGTGGCTTTTTGAAAACTTCAGCTCACCAAGAAGAAAAAAAGTATTTTTAATCCGAGACATCCTTAGCGTTTGCATCAAAGAGCCGCGGACATTTTTTTTTCTCATCAGCCAGAAAGAAAAAAAAAGAATTTTGTAATCAGAGCCGTTACAACGTATTGGATTCTGTTGAAAGCGAAGGATAGTTGTCCTGTTGGAGCTTGTTTTCTTAATTAAGGCTGTTTTCCTGCATTTCTGCAGCCCGGTCAACCTTTATAATCTAATGGATAACAAATGGGCTTTGTTGTTTATCATTGGGCAGCAACATGCACAGTGTACTGCCTCATTAGATTCTTCCAAATCCCAGGACTGTTAGTCCTTGCTGACACACGCTAGCTGTTGCTTTCTGCTGGAGGGGGAAAAGAAAACATCTCGGAACCAAAAAAATGAGAAATGCTTGTGTGTTGTCGCATCTCACTGTGTTGAAGTCTAGTTAAGAGTCTTCTGATTCCACTTGTTTGGTGCTTGCCCATAAGGTCGCTATTGTCTACCAAAAGAGTTCCATCCAGCCACACATTTTCTAACTGCTTGATAAATTCAGCCCCGCAGGGGAGCCAGAGCCCTATCCCAGCAAGCAGTGGGCACAAAGGCAGGGTCACCCTGATTGGGACACCAGTCCATCACAGTGTTTTCTAGTTAAAAGTCATCTTTTAAATTCTTCTCTGTATTATTCACTTATCTCTTGGTACAGTGGACTTGAAGAGCTTGTTCCCCAAAGCGTCGAGCTTTAGTCCGAAGCAAAAGGCTTTTTAAAAGTCACCCTGCTTGTGTGCAAAATAAACACCCTGTTATTATGGTCATCGGGCTCAGGAGTGGCATTGTTAACACCGGCTGGCTGCGACGTGCTCTTCACAAGGCCCATGACTGATTCTGTCTGTGTTGTTGCCGTTGCTTTTCAGGAAACCCTTCCCGATCGGAGACCGAGTGACGTTCAGTGGGAAGGACTGCGTCTGTCAGCAGTGCTCCCACACTCTGGTCAACACCAACGAGCCCATAAAGATCCACGGACCCAGCCGTAAGTCCATCGGTACCGGCGAGGATGACGATGATAAGAGGATTTTGCCTTTGTAGCTGAAGCGGCTCACAGGGGCGTGGAGGGCGAGCTGCTGCTGTTCAGTCACTGATCTCCGTTTGACGTCTCAGCCAAGAATGGCTTGACACACAGCGTTACCCCTGGACCCCTGGTATACCGCAGTAAAAGCAGAGTGAAGTGTAGTAGAATGGGGTCACTCATGGCTGAACAAAGAGATCAAAGGAATTTGTGGAAGAGTGAGACAGTGACCTAGCACAGCCTTGTTAGTTTACAGTGCCTGTTTACCCTGGCGGGCAGTAAGCTGAAGTGAGCTTCATAATAAATAATGTAGCCTGGGTGATAAGGGGTAGCTGTCAGTGCCTAAAGAGAAGAGTTCAGGATGTTAACACAGGCCTGCTGTGGGTCAAGAAATGCGAGAGACCCATAACCTTTACAGGACTAGTCCTACCACCTCCTGCTCGGACCACTGCCGGATAGAAACAACTTCTAACAATATTCGAAAACAGAAACAAAGTCGCACTTTAAACCGTAGCGCAATAGCCTAAAAAAGTCAGTTTTTCACATTTCTGTCTTTATTTTCCAGCTACTAGAAAAAGAAGCTGGGTTGTTTCTGATGATAACGTACACAGTGCCCTCCTTTAGTACTGGGACAATGAAGTCAAAACGGCTATTCTTGCTGTATACTCACGTAATTCACATTTGAGATGGAAAGATTAATATGAGGCACAAGTACACAATGCCATTTTTTATTTCTGAGTATTTCTGTGCATACAGTTTTACAGTTTTACATTTCTGTGCATACAGTTCTGTGCATACAGCTTTTAACTTTTAGAATAATACCCCTTTTGTACACCATCCCCACCTTTGAGGTGAGCTCACAATTTTGACTTCACAGTACCAATGGTTATGGAAGGCATTGTTCATTTGTTACGTATGTAGTTAAGAGTTCTGTCCCACTTTGTGAATAAAGGTGCCAGCCCAGTGCAGGGGACAGCCATTCTACCCAGCCTCCACGAATTACAGCAACTACAGCACTTATTGACTGAGACAGTGATGACTGATAGCTTCAAAGCTGTTTGCTGATCAGTTGCCGCACACTCAATTGTCACTTAATAATTGCTATGGATCTGTGGAAGGAGCTGGGTTAAGGAATTCAATTTCAGAAGCTTCCCTCCATTCATTTAACGTAACTAGTCAATTGCATGTTGTGAAAGCCATAAATAATTTACTGTGGAGGTCTGGTTAACAGTGTCTGATTGCAGAGGTGCTCTTTGAGAGAGAGGTGGGAGGATGAGATGGTCAGGTCCAATAAATATGCCAGACACACAATTAATTGCTCTTGCCTCCTAATGCATCTCTTAAATCTGCCTGACAGAAGGTATCTCTTCATGGTGCAATCTGCCACACCATTTATTTTGATACTTTGGCCTGACACATCTTAAATGGGTGCATTGATCGCTGAATGACAGTTTTCGCTGTGGCTGAGCATCCCATTCCTGCTCGTCGTTTAGGTCTGTGAAGGATGCCATCTCGAACAGTCCAGGCTGTTAGACCAACTTCCAAGGGAGGATTTTTTTTTTATTTGCCACTATTATAGAGTTTTTTCTGATACACCTTCCGAAATCATGTTTTGGGTGTCCAGTGTTCATTGTAAGTGCAGTGTTGGCTCTTCCATCTATTTTCAGTAATTGCTTGATGCTTGATCCAGGTCATGGGGACCTGGTGCACATGTACAATATAGTCCATACAGTACACATGCACATACACACACATGCAGAGAAACACACATACACATGCACACAACCCCACAAGCACACAAATTTATGCGCACACCCACCCGCACACACATCCACAGAAACACACAAACACGTGCACACACACCCACACGCACATAAACACACAAACACATGCATACGCACCCACACACACAGAAAAACAAAAACGTGCACACACAAGCACACAGACAGAAACACACAAACACGTGCATTCACACCCTCACACACAGACACGTGCACATACAACCACACAGACAGAAACACACAAACACGTGCGCACACACCCACACAGACAGAGCACACACAAATGCATGCACAGCCACCCACATGCGCACACACACAATAGGCAACAGAATTACTAATTTACCTACCTAACCTAGCTTCCCGGATTCCTTTTCCTGGAAACCAGAGCTTTTCTGGAAAACCCATGTGGACACTGGGAGAGCATGCAAACTCCATACAGACAGTAACCAAGCATTTCTGCGGGGCTGTTAAGCACTCACGCTCCCAACTGTTTTAATGCAGAAATACTTGTCTCAGGGCATAGCAATCCTTCAGTCCTTTTATATACTGAAAATATAAGTAAAGTGGAGAAGTACAAATATTTATATAAAAGAGTATGCAGCACTTCAGTGTGATTAATAGGCAGTGCTAATGGTACTGGGATTCTCACGAGGAAAGCATGTGGCGCGTGGCAGTCTGGATTCAAACCCGTGATCTCCCGTGACCCTGCAGAACTCATCCTCTGCATTACCATCAGAGCAACCCCGAGGCAGCTGGTTTTCATCACCGGCGAGCTCTCGATTAAACAGTCGGCACCTCTACCGAAGCCGTACTGTGCCGAAACCAGAGCTTTCTCAAATATTTATGCAACTGCAAAACAGTAGTTATGAACCGGTCTGGCAGAGCAAGCCGTGGTCCCAGGCAGGTAATTGTTTCCTTCTGCTCACATGTGGATTCTGTGCTCATTGTGTTCATGTTGTGACTCATATCCTGTTTGTTGGATACCTCGTGCTCTGGCCAGTCCCTGTGGATGAGGTCACGATGGGAATGATTATTGCCAACGTGAGCAGGAACTATTTTAAAAACGAAGGCGTGACCCGACAACATTGTCCTCGTCCTGGACTGTGTTTACCTTGTTTTTATGGCCTCTCTGTGCTCCTGTCACAGTGAAGCGTCGCTGTGCTGTGCTCCCAGACAGAAGACCACACCATGCACCATCATAGTGAATATGACTATAGTGAGCAGAGGCTGGTGAGCACAAGAGGCACTTACACCAGAAGAGTGAAGCGTCAGCCTGCCTCATCCCTCAGCCGTACCCAGCAGTGAGGAGAGAGCGGAGCCTGGGCTCCCCTTCCGGATAAACGGAACTGGAGCGGGACCGGTGGGCACAGATCCAACGGCTCCCGCAGGGATCAATACCGCCAGGAGGAGGCCATTGGGCAGGGCCGATCCGGTTGCAGCGAAGGGGCGGAAATGCGGTTTGCTCGTTCAGCGAAATCCAGCCGCTCCATCGGTGTTCCATCGGAGCAGTCCCGGGCAGGAAGACGAGCCGGAGTTCGTCTGGTCTCTGGAGGGAGGCCGGCGGCGTCAGACCTCCTCCATCAGCGCATCTCTGTTCCGGTGCTGGAGCCTGCAGGCTGATCGTTTACCCCTCTCATTTACTCTACAGAGCCTTCAGCTGCTTTCCAAGGGAATCTTCATTTCCATCTTGCATTTCTTTTTCTCCAGTGCAGCTCCCCTTTAAAACCACAGTTTGGAAGAGACGTGGGGAGGGAAGGGGCACGGGCCTTTCGGAGAAGGACAAAAGTTGATAAAAAGCTTGATCACGTAACTGCTGGAGGAAAGGTTATGTCTGATAATGGAAGTGTAAAAGGCTCTTTGGCACCTGCCTGTAGGGACCTGATCCAGGTTCAGCCACGGCCCAGGCAGACATCCGCTCTGACTGGACACACGTGGAGATGTGGTCCTACTTATTCTGCTTCTTCCTAAGTGATTAATCAGCCTGCACCGCTGGGCTCCATCTGCTGCCTCTCCAGCTGACACTCAGCTCCAGTCTCAGACACAAGCACTCCATGCTTTGGATTAAAGCACGTCAAGACATCAGGAAGGTCACAGATGACAGGAGAACATTCGGTCAGTCTGGCACCTCTGGCTGTTAGTGGCTAATTGACCGGAGGATCTTACCCAGGCAGTTCTTGAAAGAGGCCAACAACATGACTGGGCAGCTTGTCCCAGACTCCCAGCACCCTTTGTGTAAAGTGCCTGCTGATCTCAGCTTTAAATGCTCTTCCCCATAGTTTCCACTGACACCTTGTGGTTTGAGTTTCACTGGTGATGTTGAAGAAGTCATCTGGATTGACTGTGTTAGTGCCTTTGAGGATTTTGAACCCTTATTTCAGTTACCCCTGTAGTCTTCTCTGTTCATTTCCGTCAGCCTGTCACTGTGGGACTTTCCTATAAACTTTGGTTTTACTTATTGGGATTGTATCTGATTGCCCTTGAATCTGGGTTGATTCAGGAGCAGTAATATCCTTCCTATTGTATGTGCATTTTACCGTTGGAGACAGGCATTATACAATTTTCACCTAACAACCCTTGATTTAAGTTCTAAGGCCTTTTGCATTTGTGCACAATATAAAGCCTCGTATTTTATCTTTTGAACTGTTTCCCTACATTGTCTCAAAGACGTAAATGATGAGTTTACCCACTGGCAACATCTAAACTGGGCAGTTCACAATATCCCATGCCCTTTCCTGTTCGTTTTGCCCAAATTAAACCCTGTGTGTTTGGAGAGGAATTCAAACAGGTAAACAGAAGAAAAAGCACATTTTGCAGAGGAAAGTGAAACACTTCTAAGGGAAAGTGGGTTTTGGGAGGAAGTTATTCAGCTTGGCCCTGAGGGACTGGCTTCTTCACCCGTGTGTCTGTCCTGAATGTCCCACCGGAATGTGAGACGTCAAAGCATTCTTGCTGATGATCCATAGGGAACACAGGAAGTGGAATTCTTATTGACCCTTCTGTGGCACGCCCAAGAGTTTAACAATAAAAGCAATAAGGAATAAATCAATATGTAATTTCCCTACCACATTGGCATTGGTAGGATTAGAAAGTCATTAAAAGCAATCCATAAAATTACAAAGGAAAAGTAATAATGCTGATCCAAAGGCATGTCTGATGTTTTTTCTTGGACTGTATCCTCTCTGTGGAGCTGAACAAGCCTTCAGTCTGTCTCCGACAGGCTGGAGAGCTCAGAGTCGTGCTCAGCTTCAGCACAATGAAAACGAATGGGCACAGAACCTCTCCTCAAGAAAATCCGCTGCAGTCATGAATCATCGCCGCCATCCATGTTCCACCTGCCCCGCGTGCTTATAAGATTTAATAATGTATTTGTGACGCCGTGAGTCTCATCTGTCCTCATGGCTCTCTCTTTCCCTCTCTGTCACAGATTGCGCAGGGTGCAAGGAGGAGATCAAACAAGGACAGTCCCTGTTAGCTCTGGAGAAGCAGTGGCATGTCAGCTGCTTCAAATGTCAGACCTGTGGGATCGTGTTGACAGGGGAGTACATCAGCAAGTACGTGTCTCGACTTGGGCGAGCTCAGCCTGTGTCACACAGCTCCCGGGGGAGCTGTCACCAGCACGATAAAAACACCGCCTGCCTGTTTTAACTGTTTGCATTTTTATTTTCATTTAATCAGCTATTTATAGATAGCAGTCTTAGTGTTTATTTTGAAGTGACAAGTGCAGTGAATTGACATTATGAGGCGATTCGGAGAGTACTTTAATTTTGTTGTGCTCGACTGTGCAGTGCAATTATTCAATGTGAGCACAAAACATTGTGCCCCGATGAATAAAAGATTAGTGTTGAAAACCACTGCGGAGCTGGGCTGTTACCACCACTTGAAACTGATCCAGAACAGGCAGGTGGATTCTAAAATAATCATGGCTGTGTCTTATTTACAAATCAAGTGGAATCAAGAGTTGGAAAGGGATGTTTTTTGGGGGGGGTCTGCTCTGAAGAATATCAAGCAAGGATATGGTCCTTTTTACAAGCTGAGTACAGCCTAACGGTGCCGTGTGCTGAGATGACTACATTTGAATCGTTTTATTTTTCTTCAAAGTGGGGAATGTCCCCGCTGTCGAGGCCAGTTACTGTCACTGTGAACTGGTGCGAAGCTCAGACAATTCCCAGGCCTCGGGAAAACAGCGCTCTCCTGTCTACAAGGCACTTGCCAGTTTGTTATACAAGAAAGGGCAGGTTTCTTGTAGATGTTGTCTTTCGTAAGGCAAAGTGAAGAAAAGGTGGAAAAAGTCTCCTTCTGCACTGAAAGATTAAGGTATCTGCAAAAACCATGGGAACACCAAACAATCAATACATCGATCCATCCAACATGCTTTTTTTAAACGGCTTTATCCAGTACAGGGAGCTGGAGGCTCTCCCAGCAAGCAACTGGCACAGGCAGGGTACACTCTGGAGGGTGCGCCAGTCCACTGCAGGGCACACACAGATACAGACAGACACACTCGTACCAGGGGTACCAGGGCCAACTTTCCCAGAAGCCAGTTAACCTGCCAGCTTGTCTTGTAGGAGGAAACCCATGCAAACCCAGGGAGAACATACAAACTCCACACAGATAGCACCCCAGAAAGTGCACGCAGGACCCCAGGGCTGCGAGACAGCAGTGCCAACCACTGTGCCACCGTGCCGCTCACAATAAACACAGACTTTTTCAAATTAAACGCCAAAAAACAAATCCTCATTATGAATTTAAGGTTGTTTAGAAGCCCCTTAACTACCAGCAGGGCCCAGAGATGTATAGATTTGCTGAAGAATGCTAACCCTAAGAGAAGGGCAATCAGCACAGATCCTTTTACATTTAAACCAGATAGCTCCTGCAAAAACTCAGTGGGTGGTCTGGAAAGTACTGAATGAGATGCAGTCTTTTTAATTGACTTCAGGGATGTGTTTTAAAAGGCCAGAGATCACCTGCACACCTGGTTAACTCTCCCTGTGCTGTGTCTCTGTCAGGGATGGCGTGCCATACTGCGAGACCGACTACCACACTCAGTTTGGGATTAAATGCGAGACCTGCAACAGGTATATCAGTGGACGAGTATTGGAGGTAAGCAATAGCTCCTTGTATTCATATTGCACTTCTCAGCCTGAAGGATCCCAATGCAAGCTATACATAGGAGGGGATCCAGTTCATCCCCATTGAAGTGCAGAACCACCTGGGGTGACACTGTTCTGAATCTGTAGCCCCACGACACACAGATCAGGGGAGGAGAGAGAAACTGTACAAGACCAGAGTGGGGTTC